CAAAAGCATGGGATGAATTTCCATTTATTTGTGTCCTCTTTAATTTCTGTTTAAAATGTCTTATAGTTTTCAGGGTATAGGTCTTTCACTCCTTCGTTAGATTTATTCCTAGGTATTTTATTCTTTTTGATGCAATTGTGAATGGAATTGTTTTCCTGATTTCTCTTGAGTTGGGTTGTTTTTTGTGGGGGAGGGGGTGAAAGGGAGCTTGGTGGGTGGGTCCCTGTGTGGGGCACCTCCCCACCCCCACAGTTGTGAAGCAGGGAAGGGGTTTCCCCTTGAGTGTTTCTTTAGCTTTGAATTTGGGGGTGCCCAGGCCTTCAACGTGCTGTGACAGCTGCAGGGGGTGTGTGGAGGGGTCTCCAAATTTCTCTTGGGGTGGGGCCTAGGCTGCCCATTGATCTTCCTGAGGGCAGAGCCAGTGGGATGCCCTGGGTGGTTGGAAATGGGAAATGCGGCAGGGAGAGGGGCGGTTGCTGGAGTAATAAAGGAGGGCTGCTCCTGCCCTGCACACAGTTTAAAATTTGCAACTTGATTCCCTGCTGGTTACAGAGGGAGTTAGGGAATCTATATGCATGCACAATATATGCCCCTCCTATTATTCAAACTCTGAGGGCTCAGAGGAGAGGGTCAACAGGGACCCAAGCCCCTGAATCTTGGCTGCTCTGCCCCCACCCCGCCAGGGTCAGGAAGGGGCTTAGTCTGGGCAGACCCAGGCCCTCATGGTGGTTCTAGAGGAGCCTTTTAGCCAGCTCCCCCACTGCCTGTCTGTCCACCTTTGCCACAGCCAGTCAAAGCTCTATGCCTATTTCTTAGTGGCCTGTCTCCACTCTCCGTGTTCACCCACCGCAGGCCTGGAGATGCCCAGGATTCCTGGAAAAGGCGCATCTGCTGAAAACAGCTCATCCCCGAACAGCTGTATGGGAGGGGTCCCCAAGTAGGGCTTGGGGTGTGCTCTGCCAGGCAGACCGACACCCCCGTGGCAGTGTGCAGTGTCAGGCCCTCATCAGCTTGCAAAGGCATCTGTCACCCTGAGTGTTTGCCCAGGTGCAGAATGGGTTCAGTCTCCCCCTTTACAGATGGGGTTCCTGAGGCTGCCCGGAGCCTCCCACCCTTCCTCCCCAGCTTGGCTCTGGGCAGCTGCAGCTCTCCTGATCTGTGAAGTGCATATGATGAGGGTTACTTGCTCCAGGGTGAACGCAAAAGGGTGCCCAGTGCCACACCAACCTGTGCAGGGACTCTCAGCGAGCAGAGCAGAGACACTGATGGGGGAAGTCTGATGCCTCAGTTATGCAGCTCTGGGGGCAGGAGGAGGGTGGGCATCCACTGTGGGCAACACTCAGCCACCACCCTGTAACTGGCAGAGTTACTGCTGGGGGAGGTGGGCCATGGAGGAAGGGTTCCGTGTGTTTGACAGGCAGTTTGATCCAGTCTCTGTGTCCCAGCTGGGCAGAGGGAGGTTCAGAGAGTGTGCTGGTTTCTAGAGGCCAGTCAGCTCAGACGGGCCCAGTGAGGCCAGAAGCATGGTCCCCCAGGAAGCTGGGGCATGCCCCAAGGGGCAGAAGGCCCACCTGTGCCCTGGGCCACCTGTCATTGTGTTGGGTTGTCAGCCTTTCCTCACAGCCCCAGGACTACGTGTGTGGATGAGTCCCTACATCCTGCCCCCACACTCCCCAGCAAGCCCCAGTTTGGCTGAAACAGGTTGGGGGAGAGTGCTTTCAGTCTGATTGATCCTCCATTGGTATGAGGCCCAAGTCTATCGAAAACAAGTCTCCAGACTGAAATGACCTCAGCTACCCTGCAGAGAAACAGCCCATGGGACAGCAGGGCTGCAGCTCCGGAAAGGCCATGCTGGTATTTTTAAGCCTGTTTTATTTTTTCTGCCTTAGGTGAGTAGCCAGGGCCATGGCTCCATTGTTTTTTTGTTAAACTGACAAGTCACAGACTACTGGGCTGGAACAGACCGACTTGTAGGACAGGGATGGCCTGCAGTGGGCGCAGGTTCAGACCTGGCACCTCAGCCTCTGCCATCCCAGAGCCCCCGATCCCTTCTCTGCTTCCCCCTTCTGTCCAGAGGCTTCCAACGTCTCCCCAGCTCAGAGCTAGTGACCCATTTCCCAGATGAGGAACCAGAGGCTGAGAGGTGACATGCCCAGGGTCTCCCCTTGGAGATTTCCATTCCCCTTTTGTTATTTCTAGCAGAGAGGCCTGGCCAAGTCAGGGGCTCAGAGGCATCCCCTGTTTCAGCCCCCATCTGTCCTTTGCCTCTTCCCACCTGCTGCAGAAAAACAGAGTTCCTTTGTTTCTTTAAAACAACTTGCTTTTTTCGGGGTGGGCAGGCCCTCTGTGGGCCAAACTCAGGTAAAGTAGAAGAGGCAAGTGTCAGAACAAGCAGAGCAAACTTCACCTACTGGTGAAGCCCTATCTGGCCTGGCCCTGGGGTCAAAAAGGTGTGGTGGGCACCAGTTCCCTGAGTTGTGGGACCAGGGGTGCATGGAGAATGCTGTGGGTGGGCACTTACTGTGACCCAGCCAACCCAGCTGGGCCATGGTCCTGGCACCCCTCAGCTGAGTACGTGTGGAAGCCTTGTCTACCTGAGAAGCCCATGTGGTCAGGACCCTGAGCCCATTTCTAGAAAACTGAGGCTTGGGGGTGGGGGGTTCACGGCCGGTCTGGCTGACACGAGGCCCATGGCATCCACAGGACATGGCCCAGTGTCCCCGGCGGCAAGTGCCACGTCAGCAGAGCCCTGATGCAGTACAGGACAAAACAGATGATGGGCAGAGGCTTGGCTACTAAGCCCCAGCCCGGGGCCCCTCAGTCCTCGCCTTGGCTCACCCAGTCCCTCCCCTAGTGCCGTCCTCCATTTCCCCAGTGGGAGAGAGGCCCACCTGAGAGATGGGGCCCTTGGGGGGCTGGACCAGTTGAATGAGCACAGCCGCACCCCTGAGAGATCCTGCCTCCCGCCTGGGCTCTGTGCCTCCTGAGAGCCTCTGCTCACACACCTGCCAGGCCCAGTTGAGCATAGGGCCTCAGTTTTCCCACTTGGAGAATGGGGCATAGGAACAAGGCCCTACCTCTTGGGTCTTTCTCAGGGCTCATGATGCCACTCCAGGTCACACCCATAGACACTGTGCCCTCACCACCTGGCTGACTGAGGGAAGGTTTTTGGGGGCTGTCAGCTGCTCCCCAGTGAGCGTCCAGCCTTGATTGCATCCATTTCCAATCACTGGGTCCCCAAGCTGAATCTGTATCTCAGCACCCCAGAGAACTTCCCAGTGAGGTGTGGGGGGTGCAGCCTCTCCCTGTTCCCCTTAGCCTTCTACCTCTCTGATCCTCAGTTTCCCCTTCTGTTGGACAGGCCGATGTCTGCCCCTTGTGGGGTATGGTGAGGGCGGTCCAGGCAGCCACTGAGCACAGAGTGTGGTCTGTCCTCGTCCCTGTCCCTCAAGGCCTGGCCCAGGACAGGTGGTTTCAGGCTGGCCTGTCATCCACCTGTTGAATATAAATAAACTCATTTTTTATAAGCTGGAATTTAAAGGTAACTTTGTATGGCTCCTAAAGGCACGTAAGTTGCATTGCGTGCCTAGTCCGCTCCCCATGCTAGGACTGCGTGAGGGGGCTTGCTCAGGGCTGGTGGCTGGTGGGCACCAGGAGGGCTGCACGGCATGGCAGGCTGGTGCAGCATCTGGGGCCTCTGATGGCACAGGAGCCTGTGTCTCACACTCACTGCCTTCTCTTCCTTCACACAGATGTTCCCTCTGCCGGTGGCCAATGGGAAGGGCCGGCCGGCCTCCCTGGTAGGAGCCCAGTTTGGAGGCTCAGGTAGGACCCGCTGCCTTGGGCTGCATGCTGGGGAGCTAAAAGGTGGGGTGGGGCCGACAGCTGGATGCAGGCTTGCGGACTGGGCACCAGGGGAAGAGGTGTTTGGGAGGCAGCACACAGTCCAAGTGGGTGGGAGTGGGTAAGGGGCCTGGGATGGTGTGAGGACTGGGCCTGGGAGTGGGGGAGTCTGTCGCTCACAAGGATGAGGAGAGGGCAGGCTTGAGCAGAGCCAAGGGGCTCAAAAGGAGGCAGACACCTGGGGGAGCCCCCGAGAAGGCCCTGGAGCAGAATGGGGGCCTGTGTGGCTGCAGCAGAGTGAGGAAGGGGGGGAGGGGGGAAAGGAGCCAGGGTGGGAATGGGACAGGTCACGCAGGGCCTTGTGGGCAGCAGGGAGGACCTGGGCTTTGACTCTGAGGGAGGTGGAACCTGCAGACCTGTGGGCAGAGAGAGGTTCTGTGCCATGTGCACGTCGGGGCATCTACCCTGGCCGTTGGTAGGATTTGAAGGGAGCCCCTTGGGGAGACTAGCTGGTTTAGAGTCTCCAGGTCCTCCCGGTGCTCTGTGTGGACTTTGGCATGTTTCTGGGGTCCCTGTGACTCTGGGATCTGGGATGGAAGGTTCTGCCTTGGAGTCAGCGTCTGAGTTCCGTCAGGGTACCCAGTGGGCTCTGGATGGCTTGTGCTCATGCACCCCTGCTCCTCTTTGGAGGTGTCCCCCCACTGCTGTCCTGTGCTGGCCTTCTCTTCTGCCTGAGGGACTGGCTACAGGACTGGCTACAGTCCTTCCTGAGGTGTGGAAATCCCCACTGGCCACCCTGCATGTGCACACCTGTGCACACACACACACACACACACACACACACACACACACACAGAGACAGGCCCCAGAGGGGCACTGACACACACGTGCACATACTCTGGAGACAGGCCCTAGAGCACGGGCACTGCCACTTCTTGCCTCAGGTGGAGGGTCAGGCCCTGGGGGGCTTAATGGAGGAGGTGGCATGGCATGTCTTTGTCTACCCCTGGGCCTTTGACTGGAGTTGTCCTTCATTGACCAGTGTCCATATGGGGCCAGCAGCCCCAAGTAGTTAAAGCTGTGGTCCCAGGAAATGTGCCTCTTGAGGACACGTGTGTGCCTGACTTGGCCTGAGTGGGACCCCAGTGAACATTTGCACACTGATTTCCTGTGGTTTCTGCAGCTCTAGCCTGCCCCTTTGGCCTTGCCCTGACCACTTTGGATGGGGAGGATTTTGCCTTGTCCGCCTGTGTTGAGCTGGGTTTTCTTGTCCATGAGGGACACAGTGCAGTTGGTCCAGCTTGGGAGCCCCTGTCCTGAACACACAGCTGGGGAATCCCTCCCCCAGTTCAGTTAATGCCAGGAGTAGGGTGTGGCTAAGGTGCTGGGAGTCCTAAGACCTGAGCTGAAAGGCCTCTTTGATGCCACCCCAGGCACGAGGCAGGCTGTTCAGTTGTGACAGGCATGAATGTGAGTCTCAGTTTCCCCGTCTTCAAAATGGGTGTTGCCCCATGGGCAGAGGATTCAGACTCGTGGGTGTGTGAGCACAGCCTTGGGCTCTTGGGGGAAGGGTCCCAGACCCAGACCCAGGAGCCATAGCTCCTGGGATCGCCTCCTCGGGGGCATCTCCCAGCTCTGAGCTCTGTTCACCACCTCCTCCCTGGTGGAACTGGAAACTGCAGGACTATGGTGGGTTTGGTGGTCTGTCATCAGGACAGGCCTGGGTAATCAACCCCTTTCTGAGCTTGAGCTTCAGTTTCTTCATCAGTAAGGTGGGTCACCCTCTTCCCAGATGGGCCGTGTTGGCTCCTGGAGGCACCGCCATTTATCAGCGCTGGTGGCTGCCGCCATGATCTGCCCCACGCCTCCTGGAACGTCTTGGTGTCTAGTGTTTAATATTCCTGTAAGTCAACTGGGTTTCTCTTAAGTTCATTCCAGAGGGCACTTTCTACAAGAAAATCAGCCCAGGCCACACGCAGCAGGAGGGGTCTCCACCAAGCAGGGGGGCTTTGCAGGCAGTCTGGCCTGATGGTCTGCCTAGACTGTCACTGATGCCTCTCTGACACCATTTTTTGAAAACAAAGGCGGATGATGCAGTGCAAGACAGGTTTTCTGATTGTTACCTGGGCTGGGAGCCTTTAAGATGAGAATAATCCCTCCCACCACCACCCCCTGCCGCTGGGAACCCCTGTGGTACAAATCGCCAAGTGACACCCTCTGCCAGGCCTGGGTCACAGGAATGGTCAGGAAGTGCTCACTGACAGTGCAAAGGAAGCGCCTTCCTATTTTTAATTTCTCCCAAGCTGTCTGGATTTGTGCCATCATAGATGGAACACATGTCCATGTCAAAAATCTGACACACAGTCTGTCTTTGAAGAGGACTCTGGGTCCTCAGGGGTGCGTGCTGTTGTGCCCTTGGGGCCAGTTTCTGGGAATGGAATTGCTGGTGGTGGATATGTGCTCAGGTGAAAACATCCCTCAGGTGCATCACCCCCTAGCCTGCTAGGTCTTTTCAAATCCCTTCCCATGGGATAGGTAGAAAGGAATATACTGCGGGCATTTATTTGATCAATAAATGGGTGATTATATTTCCAAAAGTTCATCGGCTGTGAGTTCTTTGATGAAGTTTCAATTCCCTTTCTTTGGAATTGATTGACTTTTCATTTTGAAATCATAATAGATTCACAGGAAGTTGCAGAGAAACATACACGGAGGTCCCATGCATCCCTCCCCCAGTGGGACATGCTGCACGTCAGCATAATACTGGATGCAGACGCTGACCTCAGTGTTGCCTGGACACGTGTTCCATCTATGATGGCCTGGTGTTTACTCACTAGCTTTACCCGCACATGTGCACGGTTTTTATCCTGCAGGTAGTGCTGTTAAGCCCCTACTACCTGCCCTCCCACCTGCTGCCTCTTCATGGTCACAGCCACCCTCTGCCCCTTCCCCCTGGTGTCCTCGGTTTCTCCATCTCCAGGGATTTGTCATTTCGAAACCGTGCTGTAGGGAGATCCCTATAGTGGACAACCTTCTCAGACTGGTTTTTAGCACTGAGCCTAATTCCCTGAGATGCATCTGAGTCGTGGCTGTATCAGCAGTTCACTCTTTTCATTATTATTTAATGAGCTTTTGAAGAACAACGCTTACCAACCACAGCTTACATCAAGGTTTCCTGATAAATTAAGAAATTAAATTTGGAAAATCTACCATTTCCTGGTGCCAATTTTGTACATACTCTTCCAGAGAGCAGACACAGAGGGGCAGTCCCCTGCTTTCATCAGGTCAGTAGGATATTGGTGTCACCCCAGCCACAGGCATTACAGGACAGGAGATTGAAAATAGAAATACCATTTAACCCAGGAATTCCACTCCTAGAAATTTATCCAAACAAAGCAAGATCTCAGATTCAAAAAGACAGATGCACCCCTATGTTTATTGCAGCACTATTTACAACAGCCAAGATACAGAAGCAACTTAAGTGTCCATCAGTAGATGAATGGATAAAAAAGATGTAGTACATATACACAATGGAATATTATTCAGCCAAAAAAGAAAACAAATCCTACCATTTGCAGCAACATGGATGGAGCTAGAGGGTATTATGCTCAGTGAAATGAGCCAGGCAGAGAAAGAAAGATGATTTCACTCATCTGTGGAGTATAAGAACAAAGCAAAACCTGAAGGAAGAAAACAGCAGCAGACTCACAAAACCCAAGAATGGACTAGTGGTTTCCAAAGGGAAAGGGACTGGGAAGGATGGGTGGGAAGGGAGGGAGAGAGGGATTAAGGGGTATTACGATTAGCACACATAATATAGAGGGGATGCAGGGAAGATAGTACAGCACAGAGAAGACAAGTAGTGACTCTATAGCATCTTACAATGCTGATGGACATTGACTGTAATGGGGTATGTGGTGGGAACTTGATAATAGGGGTGAATGTAGTAACCACAGTGTTACTCATATGAAACCTGAGCATAAGATTGTATATCAATGATACCTTAATAAAAAAAAATGAAAGGAAAATGGGTCCAACCTTTAAGGAGATAATCAGAAACATTTTGCTCTTAACAAGAAAGCTCCAAAATACATGGGACAAACTGACAGAATTGAAAAGAGACCCATCAACAATAATAGTTGATGACTTCAGTATTCAGTTTTCAACAGTGGATAGAATCTGTTATTTCTTTAGCCCTGTGGGGTGGGTAGAGTAGGGGCTGTGACACATGTTTTATGGTTTGGGGCACCAAACTTAGAGAGATTAAGTGACTTGTCCAGAGTCACACACTGAGGGGTGATGGATGTGAGGCAGGAGGCACAGATGGTTCCCTGGGCCGAGAGCCCTGCACGCCTGGACATGAGATCACTCCCTGGGCACCCAAACCAAGCCCTCTCCTCATGCCCTTCCCCACATTCTTCTGTCCCAGGGCTGCTGCGGGGAGACAGCAGCTGGTGCCCTGAGGAGGGGCCTGGCCTCAGAATGGCTCAAATACTGAACACCTGGCTCTAGGTTTCAATTCCTGACTCCAAAATGCAATGCCCTTCCTCCAAATGAACACCTCCTAATGGACTGGGGTTGGGGTCCAAACAGATGCCCCTGCCCCCATCACCTGCCCCTCTAGCATTTGATTCTATAGCATAGTAAGATGCTATAGAGTCACTATTTGATAATAGGGGAGAATGTACTAACCACAGTGTTAGCTCATGTGAAACCTGAGGTTGCAAAATGAAAAGGAAGACCAAAAGGGGTACAATCAGGATTCACAAAAAAATCATCTGTGATCAAGAAAACCTCTAGGCGGTCTGAAGTTAGCAGTTGAGCATCATCAAAATGGGCATCTAGCCTTTCCAAGCCATCACCCCACCCTGCAACCCATGGTCCTCTGTAATGAATTATTAGCTGGGCCCTCAGCAACCAGCCCTGGTGAACAGTCAGTGCTTGCAACGAGGGAAGTGACCTGGCAGGCAGAGCTCCCAGGATGGGGTTCTCAGACTCAATTCTGTTTTCAGCCCCTCATTGCTCCCAGGGCTGCAGTTGCTTTGCCATAGCTGATAGAATCAGGATCATAGACATTGATGACATCTGCCATGATGAGTCCAGGTCCTTCAGGATGAGCGTCACACAAAAATAGAGAAATTACATGCACATTTTTTTCATGATATATACTTGTTTTATTATCACCCAGTGTAAACATTCATATTTCTTAGATAAAATGGGAAAATAAGTCAGTATTAAACCTCCCTAAGGACTGCAGCTTTATTTTAAAGGACTAAAATGTCTCATGAAGTATAATTTTTATTGGTGAGAAAAATAAGAACTCGTTGAAAAGGTAAATATTTAAGATTTTGCTTCAAAATGGAAGACAGATTTTTTTTTAAAGGATCAGGAGGGCATTGAAATAAAACTTTCTCTCTAATGATACTCTACAAAACATTCACTTCACCAACTAGAATCTGGAAAATAAAATTACCTCTCATGTTTAAAAGGACAGAAGCCTTTAAGGTATTTCAAACCTTGGACTGTGTATCAGCATGTTTTTCTTCAGCTTTTACATCCTCTGAGTTCCTACGAAGATCAGGTTCACCTTGTGCAGCTAACTCGTTCCACCTCTGTTTTGCTGGATGATGTCCACCAGGTTGTTTTTGAAGCTCTTCAGGTCCTACTTTGAAGGGAGTAGTCTGGAACATAGGTTCCATTGTTCATGGGGCCTTTCATATTGGATAGTCTGCTTGCCACATAGGAAGAAGTTTCTGCTTTTGAGGCTTCCTCTAGAAGAGCAATAATAATTTTCTCTGTTGAGTCTGTCAGAAGAGAAAATGTTGGCTCTACTATAAAATCAATGAAATCTATTTGTGACTGGGCCACCAATGTTGACTTCTGATCACAAAGTGGAGAAAATGGAAGCTCTAATTCAGCTTCTTTAGCTCTCTGTAGGAAAAACTCCTCCATCAGGGCCATGATCCACCAGTGGTGCAGCCTCCAGGATTTGACTGGGTTGCTGATGTCTGCTGCATGGAGAATCAGGGATGTAGTTTTGGCTTTGTCAATCCCTTCAGGCTGCTGCAAACTATTTCTTATGTTTTTAATTTGCTGGAAATGACCCAACCTGTCTGTAGACAAAACCATTTCAATCACTAGATTCCGAAGATCCCTCTGGTCATCTTTGGATACATTTATCAGGACAATCAGTTCTTTTTCTTGCATTATGATAAGCTGCACTTACATGGTGATTCTCAAGGTCAGAGTGATCATTGTACAAAATGTCAATATCTGACCTTTTTTGAATATGAAAGTTGTTTGTGGTTCCTGTATGTTTGTAATCATGGGTGGTAGCAGCAAAGGCCATTGCTAAAATTTCCAGTAGGAAAAATTCCAGTGCTGTATGAAGTACATTATGTAATGTACAGTTTGAGTGACAGCTGCATGAATCAAATTGTGATAAGGATTTTTGTACTTGCTATAACCAACTTCTAAAGCTTCTGCAAAGGAAATTAGGCAAGAAATAGGAATCTTGAAATGATAAGATCATATCTGGTAAACAGCTCATAAATCATAAGCTTCAGACTGTGTTCTCCACCTGCTTCATTTAAGGCAAGTATATCAAAAGACCATTTATCAACATCCTTTAATGTAATTATGACAGCTTCCGGCATGCCAAACCAACCATGTGATAGGACTTTGTACATCCTTGTTTCATCAATATGAACAGCTTCCAACACATGCTGCATATTCAGTGTTCTTCTTTAAGTCTATGACATTAACATCACCTTTTTGCAGCTGCTTCACTAAGCATCTTAGTCTGCAAGCATTGTAACAGTTGAAAAGATTCCCATACTTAAGTTTTTTTCTTATTCTTTTTTCTCTTTACAGTAGAGCTTCTGGTTCTTGGAGATTACACCAAGAGCAGTGAGTCATATCTGTACCACTAAGATGATAATTACTTTATACTGCAGTGCCTCATTACGGTCCTCATTAGTTTGGAACTTTCCAGATTATGTAAATAATTTGTAAGGCCAAATTCCAGTGGTATTAACACCTGCTTCTCTTTCTCGTATGTATTCTCAAGTTTTTAACATTAACTGTGACTGGTGCACGGTGGAGGAAGGTGAAGTTATAATATGCAGTGTTTTCCAAATTTATTTCAAGTAGAATTCTTTATAGGAAATCCTGCTCAGCGGTTGGTAGGGGCCGTTTGCTCCATGCTGCGCCTGCCCAGCGCACTCTGGCCGGAAGGGGGTATGCCATATTTTAATTAATGCATCTGTCTCCCAGTCTGCAAAATAATCTTCGGTAGGCACGAGGGCAGGATGCAGGGGGGCTTTAGTGGTTGACCTGATAAATGATCTACACGTGAAAAAACATACGACTTAGTATAAGGCCAAAAGAGAGACACTGGCTACTTTGGCAACCTTAAAGCAGAGTCCAGGAAGGTCAGCAACAGCATGACCTTTTCAGTCAAATCCAGCAATCAGAACTTCATTTTCTTCAATAAAATTCAAGCAACCATTATTGGATACAAAGGATGTGATATTTTTTTGCCATTTGATCACCTGGTCTGTGGCACACTTCCTCATGTGCACACCATCCAAGTGTGCATTAGGGCACAACCACTTGCATTTATTTTTTTATTACAATTTTTTTATTAAGGTATTATTGATATGCACTCTTCTGAAGGTAAGTGCTGCACTAAACACAGGGGTGCATATGTCTTTTTGAATCTGAGAACTTGTACTCTTGGAAGAATTTGGCTATTTGGCTTTAACCTTTAGTTTTTTTCTTGTTTTTTTTTAATGGACTGGATTTTGTTTTTATTTGGTTCTTTTAATATGACCAAACATCAAGATTTGCAAACGAAAAATTTTGGAGGACTGACAAATGTTTCAATGAGTGCAGTTAAAAGTTATGTTTCAGACTGTTTTTCACAGTTCAGGCAGGTCAGTATCAAGGGAAAGTCTCCTAGAGAATGATGACCTGGTTAGTTTTTTATACAAACAAAAGAAGGATCTTTCACCTCATCATGAATTTAATACTGGCTCTTTTGTTTTCCTTTGCAGTGTCTTTGATTGGATTATGTTCAAGGATACACAGCCTCTTGTCTTTTAAGTACATTTAAGAGTTCATTTCCCAGCTTTGACAATTCAGCTCAGCAGTTTCAACAGGTATTAACCAGAACTGTCCATATCAGAAACATCTTACTCTTTAGCAGACAAAAGCACTTATGTTTGCAACACATAGGGAGCCTACAACAATGGACTCTTTAGCAGTAGGGTTTGCCATTTTGCAAATGTTTTGAAAGGGAAGACAAGGCTTTGAAATAAAGTGGGAGAAACAGTTTTAAAGAGAACCAAACTCTGAGTCCTGGAAGAAACATTTGCTTCAGCTGCAGGTTATGAGAACAGTCACTTCCACGTTGAGCACCATCCAAGTATGCATTAGGGCACATGGTTGTCTCCTCCAGATTTCAGTCCGTAGCTGTTCTCTGCCTTCTCCCCCCTGGATGGCTCATTTCTTTTTGATTTCAGCTATCACCTCAATGCCTCAGTGTAGATGACTCATGAATTCATTCAGTTACCCAGCAGGTACCAAATTCCCACTGCTGTAATGACTGCTGGCACAACAACTTGCATTTATTTTTTTTATTACAATTTTTTTATTAAGATATTATTGATATGTACTCTTCTCAAGGTAAGTGCTACACTAAACACAGGGGTGCATATGCCTTTTTGAATCTGAGAACTTGTATTCTTGGGTAAATTCCTAGGAGTGGAATTCCTAGGTCAAATGTTATTTCTATTTAAAAAATTTTTAGGAACCTCCACATTGCTTTCCACAGTGGTTGAACTAGTTTATATTCCTACCAGCAGTGTAGAAGGGTTCCCCTTTCTCCACATCCTCACCAGCATTTGTAGTAGATCTTGACGTTGGGGCATGTAATCTCCCGGCTTTATTCTTCCTTTTCAGGATTGCTTTGGCTACTCAGGGTCTTTTGCGGTTACATATGAATTTTACAACTATTTGTTCTAGTTTGTTGAAAAATGCTGTTGGTATTTTGATAGGGATTGCATTGAATCTGTAGATTGCTTTAGGCAGGATGGCCATTTTGACACTATTAATTATTCCTATCCATGAGCACGGGTTGTATTTCCATTTATTGGTGTCTTCTACTTTCTCTCATGAGTGTCTTGTAGTTTTCAGGGCATAGGTCTTTCACTTCCTTCGTTAGGCTTATTCCTAGGTATCTTATTCTTTTCGATGCAATTGTAAATGGAATTTTTTCCCTGATTTCTCTTTCTGCTAGTTCATCGTTAGTGTATAGGAATGCAACAGATTTCTGTGTATAAATTTTGTATCCTGCAACTTTGCTGAATTCAGATATTAGATGTAGTAGTTTTGAGTGGATTCTTTAGGGCTTTTTACATACAACATCTTGTCATCTGCAAATAGTGACAGTTTAACAACTTCTTTACCAATCCGGATGCCCTTTATTTCTTTGTGTTGTCTGATTGCCATGGATAGGAATGAAGATGTGGTACATATACACAATGGAATACTATTCAACCATAAAACAAATCCTACCATTTGCAACAACATGCATGGAGCTGTAGGGTATTACGCTCAGTGAAATAAGCCAGGCAGAGAAAGACAAGTACCAAATGATTTCCCTCATTTGTGGAGTATAACATCAAAGCAAAACTGAAGGAACACAGCAGCAGACTCACACACTCCAAGAAGGGACTAGTGGTTACCAAAGGGGAGGGGTGGTGATGGGATGGTGGGGAGTGAGGGAGGGAGAAGGGATTGAGGGGTATTATGATTAGTACACATGGTGTGGGGGGGGATCATGGGGAAGTAGCACAGGGAAGACAAGTAGTGACTCTGTGGCATCTTACTACAGTGATGGACAGTGACTGCAATGGAGTATGGGGGGAAACTCAATAATCTGAATGAATGTAGTAACCACATTGTTTCTCTTGTGAAACCCAGATAGAGTGGATATCCTTGTCTTGTTCCCAGTCTTAGAGGAAAAACTTTCAGCTTTTCACTGTTAAGTATGATGTTGGCTGTGGGTTTGTAATATATGGCCTTTATTATGTTGAGGTACTTGTATTCTATACCCATTTTGTTGAGAGAGTTTTTATAATGAATGGATGTTGAATTTTGTCAAAATGCTTTTTCAGCATCTATGGAGATGGTCATGTGATTTTTGTCCTTCTTTTTGTTGATGTGGTGGATGATGGTGATGGATTTTAGAATGTTGTACCATCCTTGCATCCCTGGGATGAATCCCAGTTGATCATGATGTATGATCCTCTGATGTATTTTTGAATATGGTTTGCTAATATTTTGTTGAGTATTTTTGCATCTGTGTTCATCAGGGATATTGATCTGTAGTTTTCTTTTTTTGTGGTGTTTTTTCCTGGTTTTGATAGTAGAGTGATGCTGGCTTCATAGAATGAGTTCGTAAGTATTCCCTCCTCTTTATTTTTTGGAAAACTTTAACAAGAATGGGTATGCTGTCTTCTCTAAATGTCTGGTAAAATTCAGTGGTGAAGCCATCTGGTCCTGGTATCTTGTTCTTGGGTAGTTTTATGATTACCAGTTCAATTTCACTGGTGGTAATTGGTCTGTTCAGATTTTCTGTTTCTTCCTGGGTCAGTCTTGGAAGGTTGTGTTTTCTTAGAAAGTTGTCCATTTCTTCTAGGTTATCCAGTTTGTTAGTATATAATTTTTCACAGTGTTCTCTAATAATTCCTTGTATTTCAGTGGTGTCCATAGTGATTTTTCCTTTCTCATTTCTGATTCTCATGTGTGTAGATTCTCTTTTTTTCTCTGCCTTTTTTTTCTTCTTTCTCCATTCCTCTATTGATGGACACTTTGAAAATCATGAGAGGTTTGTTTTTCCCTATCCAATCCTTTTTTCTTATGGGATTGTATTGCTTGAGATTTCCCTGCACTGCTAAAGGGTAGTGATGAGAATGATATTTATCTTACTCTTGAATTCAGTGATTCTTTTTTTCTTGATAAGTCTGCCTAGAGGTTTATCTATTCTGTTTATTTTCTTAAAGAACAAGCTCTTGGTGTCATTAATTCTTTCTATTGTTTTATTGTTTTCAATTTTATTTATTCTCTGATCTTTATTATGTACCTCCTTCTACTCTCTTTGGGCCTCATTTGTTCTTCTTTTTTCCAGTTTCAATAATTGTGAATTTAGACTGTTCATTTGGAATTGTTCTTCCTTCTTTAAATAGGCCTGAATTGTTATATGCTTTCCTCTTAGAACTGCCCTCGCTGCATCCTGCAGAAGTTGGGGCATTGAGCTGTTGTTTTCATTTGTCTCCAGATATTGCTTGATCTCTGTTTTAATTTGGTCATTGATCCATTGATAATTTAGGAGCATGTTGTTAAGCCTCCATGTGTTTGTGAGCCTTTTTGTTTTCTTTGTACAGTTTATTTCTAGTTTCATACCTTTGTGATCTGAGAAGTTGGTTGGTACAATTTGAATCTTTTTGAATTTGTTGAAGCTCTTTTTATGGCCTGGTATGTGATCTATTCTGGGAAATGTTCCATTTGCACTTGAGAAGAATGTGTATCCTGTTGCTTTTGGGTAGAGTGTTCTGTAGATGTCTCTTAGGTCCTTCTGTTTTAATGTGTTGTTCAGTGCCTCTGTCTCCTTACTTATTTTCTGTCTGGTTGATCTGTCCTTTGGAGTGAGTGGTGTGTTGAAGTCTCCTAAAATGAAAGAAACCTTTAATTATTTTTAACCCTTAATTAAGCTCAGTTTCAAGGTTTAAGTTCTACATTTGCCTGCATGGCTGGTGATGGGAGGGATGGATCCTTGGAGGTAGCTGGCATTTGATGTTTTAGGAGAATTGTTGGGAAAGGTAAGGGACTTGGACAAAGGGAAGAAGAGGGAAGAAGTATGGAAGGAGGAACATCAGAAGGATAAAGATAATAAGGAGAAGTGCATAGAGGGAACAACTGAAGGACAAGAGAGAAGGGTTCAATGGGGAAATGAGTCTAGTTTATCCATGCTTAAGTTTGTCAAATTGTTCATTTGCTGTGGCCAATCTGTTATAGAAACAATTTTTGATTCAGACTCTTTTTTGAACAATAGAAGAATCAAGTCAAACATTTTTTAATTAAAAGAATATACCAATGGAAAAAAAGAAAAACAATTTCTTTTGGAGACCTCAGTATTATCAATCCTTATTTCTCTACTTTTCCAAGGAATCTCTCAAATAAAAATTTTGATGAAATCAAGTGTTCTCAGGAGTTGGCACTGAAGACCCAAATCATCCTTGGTGAAGTGTGCCATTTACAAAGGGCACAAGAATTAGGACTGCAGTGTGTACACAGGAGAAGTAGGGATTTTTCCTGCTAGAGGAGAGGATTTAGGTTTAGATGACCCCAAAAGAGCTGGTGATGGTTGGTAGAAATGTAACATTTATGCACCTTGTGTTTTGGGGCCCCAAAATGAAGTTGGCTGCCTCTCTGAACACAGACACTACAGTGTCCTCAGCCAGTGGAAAACCAGAGAGAATTCTCTCTCAGGATACAGCATCTAGATGGAAGGAGACCTGGACTGAAGGCTTGATTGGTGGCCTTCAGCAAAGTTCATCCAGGTAGATGTCAGTCAAACTCACTGGTCCTAGAGATCAGCTCAAACAAGACTCATAAGGCCCATTCCTTGTTCTACCCTCTGATTCTCCTCATGACACAACACCTTTGCCCAGCACAACACAAAGCTATAACACCAAAGACAGCCAAAAGGAATGTCCGGATCCCACCAAGGAGGTCAAACACCTGGGGACCAAGAACAAAACCCAGGCCCTAAACTGAGAACAAATAGCCTGAAAACTCTCACACATAGAACACAGTTGGGACCCCCAGTGCTGACTTACCACATCATCCCAGCCTCAACAAGCTGCAGGCTGCAACACACAGGGGGCCTTGGTGGGGACACACTCGCCTGAGGGCTGGGGTTTGCGGCAACGAGCAGCTCACACTGGGTCTTGGGAGGTCTCCACGATGAACTGTTGGTAAACAAAGGCCAACCAAGTGAGAATAAGCAAAGGATATTTATTCAGAGCTTGTTGGAGAAAGGAAGTCAACTGCCATCACTTGGGTTCTGGCAGAGATGCAAAATCAGGCAGAGGAG